ACACACACACACACACACACACACACACACACACACACACCACACACCACCAGCAATTCCCCGGAAGGCCAGGCATTCTGCTTCCCGAAGGTCACACTGCTGAAAGCCCTGTGGCGCACAGTTTCTTTGTGATAACGTGCATGGCTGCCATGATCCTGGTTGACGTAAGGACAGTAACAAGAAGTCGATAAACGCATTGCATTGTGAAGTGATGTGACCTGATTAGATGTACAGAGGTCTTTCTGCTTAGGATCTGGAAGAAGAATTGAGTAGTGGGCAAAAATGTAAAAGGGGAAAGCAGTCAGAAGCCCCCAGCAAGAGCAGAAATGGCAGGGTGATGCAGGGACTCTGGAGAGCCCTGGAAGGTTTCCAGGTACAGTCTGAAGTCAGATGCACCTGGTGGGATAGTGGCTATGCCATGGGCTGCTCGCCGGTTTACAAGGTCAGCGGTCTAAAACCCCCAGGAGAAAGAGAGGCGCTCTACTCTTGGGAGACGTCACAGTCTCGGAAATTTACCGAGGGTAGTTCTACCTGGTCATCTAGGGTAGATGTGAGTTAGATTAGCAGTAACTTGGTTTTCTTTCTTTCTTTTCTTTTTGGACCTGAATCAAGGAAGTATCAGATGTGGCAGATGAGAGAGAAGGGTGTGTCGAGAATCACTCCCAGGAAGCTTGAGGAGTCATTTTGAAATGGGGATGAGCAGAGAAAAAGCAGGCTTAGGGAAGGCAGGGGGATGAGGAGTTACGTTTAGACTAAAGCCTCAGACAGCCAGAGGAAAGTCAAGAAAACAGTTGGAAACTTTAGTGTTTTCTATCACACCTCGCTGAGTCCCCGGCACATAGTAGGTACTCAACTGATCTGTGTCGTATTGAATTAATATACCATTTTTTCCCCAGCAGCACTTAAGGATATGTACTGATGCAGCTCCATTCTCATCTAATCACCCTGGCGACAAGAAAACAGATGTCAAGCTGCTACCTGAGGTTGGAATCCCTGGTGGCGCAGACAGTTACGTGGGAGACTACTGGCAGAAAGGTTGGTGGTTCCAACCAGCCCAGAGACACCTCAGAAGAAAGGCCTGATGATCTGCTTCCAAAAGGTCACAGCTAATGAAAACCCTCGGACTGCAGTTCTACTGACACTTTGGGGGGGCGGGGGGCACCACAGTCAGAGCGGACGCCATGGCAACAGGTTGGATTGCTTGATTTGGTTTAATAGCCGAGGCTACAACCGACTTCAAGGTCATGCCACATGCCTGTCCAGTGAAATCCATGGCGGTAGTTGTCATAAGCACCAACCAAAATTTTCCCATTTCAATGACATTCAGGTTAGTTGAAAGTCTCAAATGGTTCATCTGCGGGTCACGAAATCTTACCCCAACCTCTCTTCTAACCTTATCGCCAGACATTTCACACCACAATGGCAACCAAGACAACAGGCTCTTCCCTCCCGCACACCTCTGCCCATGGGAACATGCCAGCTCCTTTAGCCTGCTGGCAGACTGCTACGTCTCCTTCCAGAAGCAGCTCCTCTTAGAAGGCTGCCCTGATTTCTCCTGGCCCTCTATCCATGACACAGTCACTGACGGGCAAGGGTCTGGCTACCTACAGGTCTGCGGGACACAGCGAGTCAAGGGTGCCTTTCACTCAAAAGCGCAACCCCATTTCCAGAACGGCACCTAGCATGTAGCATCGTTGCATGTCTGCTGGCTAGATAAATACAACGATGAGGAGGAAGATGTTTAGTTTCACTCTAAGCAAACAGCCTTAGTGCATGTGTGTTTTAATGATCTTACAACTCTGTACGCTAATGCCAGAAAA